GCCTTGGGCTCGTAGCTGGAGGCTTAGGAGGAGAACCATTTTCTTGGCTCATTTAAGTTGTTGGCAGAACTCCTTTCCTTCTGTTTCCACATGGTCTCTTCTATCTTTAAGCCCAGCAGTGGCAGTTTGAGTCCCTCTTATGCTTCAACTCTTTCTGACTTCAGGTGAAGAAAGTTCTCTGATTTTGAGGGCTCATGTGATTAGATCTTTGGGGGGCTGTTCTGCTTACTACAAACATCCTTAGGGATCTTCAAGTGTTGCCAGCATGCTTTCCAGGGACGCGGAGCCAAAATTTCTGCCACCAGCGTCGAATAAGTGTTCAGCTCCACACACTCACCAGCACAAAGGATTAACTTTTCTTATTTTAGTAATACGGCAGACAAAACAATTGTACTTGTGTTTTTACTTGCATGTCTTTGACTCCTAGTGAGATCAAACAATTTATTTTTCTTCAGTGATCTCATATCCATTGCCCATTCATCTATTAGATTCTTAATAGTTCCCTTCTTGGTTTTTATCTCTTCCCACAATAAGGATATGTTGGCCTGTATTTTATAGGAGCTGGTGTTTTTTAATTGCTTTTTAATGTACTGCTGTATAGTCCCATGATCGATTGTTGGCCTTGTAATTTCCTCCACTGTGTCTCACTCCCTCAGGCAGCTGTCACGTCGTTCTTCCTAAAATGCTGTCGTTTATGTGTTGCCTTTCTTATTTCGTTTTTCCACTTTGCTGTGTGGTGTGAAGAAAGGCTCTAAACTGATTTTTTTTCCCCACTTTCTTCAATACAATCTATTGAATAATTAGTACCCAATATTTTCTTGGGAAAAGATAGTCACGAGAGTACATGCCATAGAAGCAAAGGCCCTGGGAACAGCTTCCCACATGGATGAAAACAGAGTCGAGAGGAAATGATACAACTTCCAAGCTGGTGCGTAAGAGCCACATGGAGTATTTCTTCTGTTTCATCTGGATGTGCCTTTAACAAGGGCTGAGGAAACTGATGAAGTTGATTACAAGTAGCCACAAAGGGTTTTTGAGGTCCTGGGCCTATCTAAGTAGGACTGGGTCTCCTAACCAAGAGTCAAAGTGACTTAGCAAAGGCGATTTTTAGTCCATTACCTGTAACCTATAAAACAAGAACTATATTCACATGTATTTGATAAAGCTGACTATAAGGCAAGAACACATACTACTCACCCCCACCCAAAAAAAGAGAAAAAGAAGACTTACTCTTCATATTTGAAAATCTAAACATTAATTTTAACAATACCATCCTAATTAATTTTATCTCAGTAAGACAGGAATTACAGAGCTTTAAGCTATAAAGACCTGGCCCCAGAAGAAAGATAGAATTAAGATACCATTCAGCAAATGAGTAGGCATGTCCTAGCCTGAGAAAATATATTTGCCATCTGACAAAGGACATGTGTCAGGAATATATAAAGAGCTGACACATCTACAATACAAAGGCAAACAACCTCATTCTTAAAATGGGTGAAATATTGGAACAGACACTTCACAAAAGGAAACGCGAATGGCCATGAAACACATGGGAAATTTCCAACACTAGGCACCAGGGAAATGGAATGAAAATCACAGAGATACCATTTCCCATCCATGGGAAAGGCTATAAAGTACAATGCCCAGTGTTGGCAAAGCTGTGAAACAACTGGAGCTCGTATATATTCTTGGTGAAAATGAAAATGGTGGAAACACTTTGGAGAACTACTTGGAAGTTTCCTAGAAAGTCAGGCACATAACTTAGCACAGGTACTGTCAGTCCCACCACCTGTCAGTCTCGACCCAATCCTCTGCACTCCCACGTTGCTTTCCTTCTTCCACATCTTCCATGTCTTTATTTGACTACTTTCGTATTTCTTCTATTCTTTTTCCATCCCAAGTGAATTCTCCCTAATTAACCATAAAGAGACGCATTTTCCCACATCCATTCTAGGAGGTATGTATGTGATGACATAAATGAAAATGAGGATTAGCTGTGTATTTTGCCAAAAGAAGACGGCAACTATTTTTCTTTGACAGCTATCAAGGTTATTTACATGTCAAGAGTAACAATGAAAATGGAACATATGCCAATAGACAGAAGACCATATTTAGACTTAAGATGTTTTTCATGTACAAATAACTTATAGCCTTCAACAATAGAAAAAAAATCAAATCATAGTCATTTGAAAAGTTCATTTATTATATACCAATATACACTTTCTGTAATAAAAAAAAGCCTCCCCGTACATTGAACCATCTTATAAATGAAATAAGAAAATAAAATTTTTATCTGTTCATAAATGGGATTAAATTAACCGGTACAAGATACCATATATGTAAGTCTGCCCTGCAGTTTGTGTGAGCTCTAATCCTGAAAATGGCCATGAGAAGAAAAATGGTGCTTCATTATTTGGCATGGTAGTATTGCTCTTGAATATCTGTATAATTACAGAGGTCGATATTTTCAAGTTAGTCATTTCAAAGATGTAAAGCATTCAAAATACATACAGATTTTATACTTTCCCAATTCTTTTGAATTAATCTTTGATATTTACATTTTAATACATTCAGATTAAACCTTTTTTTCTTTTTGTTTTAATACTCAGAAGGTACCTTTTTCCACATTCTATTTTGATACTCTCTTTTGGTGAACATAAATGGAAACCTATCTTGAAGATGCTCTTTGGCAAGTTATAATAATGACTCAAAAGTTATGATAGTTTCTAGTAATGCTCAATTTCCATAACAAAGTGCACCATTTGACAGTATTATGCCTTTAGAAAATGATACATAAAACAAATGTATATTAAGGCACATTCCAAAGCAACTATTGAAATATGATTTAATATTATGCTGATATGATACTTGTATTTCATACTTGGCTTTACTAAAATAAAAAAATATAAAATAAATGTTCTTGCTACTGACTTGGGGGGAAAAAGGTGGCAAACTCCAGAAATTCTAGGCAGTGAGTGCTAGTTTTTAAATCCATTCCATGTAAGTGTGTTGCAGAAGTGAGCAAGAATAATAGTTTTCATCTGTCTGTAGTGTTAGCACTTCTATTTTTATGGAGAGCCATTTAACATTGTGTTAAATGACAAATGAATGTCAGCAAACTCCTGTGCAAACCAAAATGAACTAAATCCTATTGTAGACATGCTAAATTAAAAGAACAACATTGGTACTGATAATTATTTGCAAACAAGGAACTTATTTTCCTGTGGATGATTGTGTTATTATTGTAAACATTGGAGAGCATTACTGAACTATATATAACTTAGTTTCAAATTTAAAATATCCCCAATAGACAGATACGTACAAATGGATTTCTGAGTCCATCAACTTAATTCCCTGCCCCCACCCTCAATAGTATAAACATTTTGACTGTGAAGAGAGAAAACTACACATGTAAAAAATAAAAATCAAATGTACCATACATTAAAGTTCAGAGGACTACAGAATAAGATTATATACATAAACATATAGCAATCACAGTTTCCTGCACTGAATGTTTATCAAATAAAAATGTATCAAACAATACTGGGTAGTGTAGCTCCACACGAATTGTGGTCTATCTAAAAATTCTGGATGACAATGGAAGACGAGAGGGAGAGCATTGTTCAATGACAAAAGCATGACAAGAGGACTAGGAATAATATTGAAAAGCAAATGCTTCCAGAACAGGCAGTTTAGCAATAAGCATTATTTTTGTTGTTGCTCTATCATTTCAATAAAGCCCCTCTCTCTGTTTAGCAAGATGTTTTAACGTTTATAAAAAAAAATATTGAACAAAGAAGGCACTCATTTAATGTCACAAACAGAATGGGCAAGACATTCCTTTACTGTTGACAATAAGGTGTTCTAGCCTGGTGTCTGATCATTCATGTATGTACTTTACAGGGACAGATCCTAAGCCATGCAGGCATACCTCAGAGATTGCAGGTTCGGTTCCGGACCACCGCAATAAAGCAAATATTACAAGAAAGCAAGTCAAATGGATTTTTTGGTTTCCCAGTGCATACAAAAGTTATGTTTACACTATAATCTATGAAGTGCGCAATCCTATGTCTAAAAAAAAAAGTACATACCTTAATTAAAATACTTTATTGCGAAAAAATGCTAACCAGATCTGAGCTTTCAGCAAGTCTTAATCACTGATCACAGATCACCATCACAAATATAATAATGAAAAAGTTTGAAATACTGTGAGAATTACCAAAATGTGACAGACACACAGGGAGCAGATGCCGTTGGAAAAATGGTGCTCCGTGCAAGGTTGCTGCGAAACAATTTGTAAAAACAAAACAAAACAAAACAAAAAACCCCCAAAACCCTCAATATCTTCTAAGCACAATAAAATGAGGTATGCCTGTGTTTAGTCAGATGTTTTAACATTTACCAAAAAATCTATTGAATGAAGAAGTCACTAATTCAATGTCACAAACAAAATGGGCAAGATACTCCTTTACTGGTGAGAGTGAGATGTTCTAGCCTGCTATCTGATCATTTATGTACCTTACAGGGGCAGTTCATAAGACCTGCCTTTTGCTTCTGTTATTCAGTTAACCCAGAGTATTGGGTGCTGGATGGGGGGAAGGCATTAAGCAGTTAGATAGCTTTGCCACCAGGGCATTTTTGTTTGATGTTCCAAGAATACAAGTATTTGGTAATTTGGGGGTAAGGGGGAAGGGTCTTATCTGATGACCATTACCTGCAGCTACCGTTATTCTGTTTGCACAACAGCAAAAATACATCCTCTTATACTGCTCTGGGAAAACATGGGTAGCAATGCACACCACAGGTTTTAAACATATAAACAGCCGTTCTTGACACAAATGATGCTTTTTCTCTTCCGTAGGTGCCTGGTGATGTTACCATAAACATCTTTGGAATCTTCCTGTTATTTCCTATGAATAACATTCCAATCAATAGAACTCAAACGTCTTTTGCAGCATAATTTGCAACCATTTCCAATAGAAAAAGTATTTTTCCTTGGGTTAGTGATGCTTGGAATTTGGGGGATTGTAAATCCAGTCAATTATAATGAGTGCCATGCTTCCAATCATGAAGATGATTCCAACCACAAGGAAAATTAAAGCCTGTCAATCAGAGAGAACTTGTTAGGGCACACAGAAACCATGTTTCGCACAGTTTGCTCTTATAAGTTGTTTACCTAGGGTAGCAATCTGATTGACATATTGAATTGTATTATTCTTATAGCTCAGATGTCCGTGCCTAGCAGTTCAGTGAATTTAGAACCCAAGTTGGCAAAAAAGGATAAATCCAGTGGAGTGATTTAACCCAAATCCTCAAAATAAAGGAATAGTTGATTTGGTACATTGAAATGATAGAATACCCTGTAATCATTAAAAATCAAGAGACAGAAAAAGATTTAATGACATTGGGTGTGCTCACAATCTTCTAGGTGAAAAAGGGCAAGCCCTAGAAGGGCGTATCATAGTATATATGATAGGATTAAATTTTATAAAACGAAAACAAAAGCCTAATCTATATCACACATTCCTTAAAATAAAAAAGGCAATGGACCTAGGAGACACTTTTACTCATTTTTACATCTGGTCAAACTTGTCTGTTTTACAAACAGGACAAGTAATCTGCCAAGGTCACACTGCTTAAAAGTCCAAGCAGGATGGACTAAAGAGGGTAGGTATTCAGGGGTGAGATGATGGGAGGAACTTTTGATACCAAACTGTCGTGAAGTCCCTGACAGTCCTGAGGGGTGAAGGACTCTCAGGCAAATTTCAGTGTCACTCACTAAGGGGCATTGTTTTTCAGCCTTAAATGGAAGACTTTATAAAATAGTCATTGATCATTGACAGGGCGCCTGGGTGGCTCAGTTGGTTAAGCAACTGCCTTCGGCTCAGGTCATGATCCTGGAGTCCCGGGATCGAGTCCCACATCGGGCTCCGAGTCTGCTTCTCCCTCTGACCCTCCTCTCTCTCATGCTGTCTCTCATTCTCTCTCTCGCAAATGAATAAAATCTTAAAAAAATAATAAAAAAATAAAAATAATAAAATAGTCATTGATAATATTTAATTATTGGGAAAACAATTAGTTCTGGCATATTTTTCTATAGTAGCACTTTGGAAAAGAAACATGCTCTAGTTTAATAAGATTATATTTTATATCTCAAGAGATTAACTGGAAAAGAAATGGTTCTGTTCTGGATCTCTGTCTACACCAAGGTACTATGGAGGGGGAAACAAAGCAATATCTTTTGGCCTGACAAACCTAACAGATATGACTAAAGATGTTTAAATTATGTCATAACACTGCCAGGGAGCCCAATTCCTTCCCACGTAATTTCCCGTAGATAGTGCTGCAGTCTTGGTAGTGGAAACTGGTAGACATGTATGCCTGTAGGAAAACTCCGTTAGTGTTTGACAGGTAGGAAGGATTCAACACAAGATACTTGATAATAAGAAGGGAAGAACTCCTGGAATCATCTCAGTACCAGAAATCCACCCCGCTTTCTCTCCACTAGAGTTCCAGCCCATCTCTGATTTTTGGTTCTCCTTCACCAATTTTTTTGAATCGTGTATTTTCGGTTTTGCTCTAAGTAGTCGAAGAGCAACTTAAAATGGTGGAAATTGCAAGCCTTACTTACCCCAACCTTTTGTGGCGACCTAAGTGGTTCTTTCTTGACAAGTTTAAGATAAAACACTGCTGGAAGAATGAAGATCAACATAGTGGCCGAAGAAGCCCCTGAGGAGAGAAGCAAAGGACAGGTTAATGTCTTATTCAGCAAGGCAGAGACCCAAGGTCATGCACTTTAAAGAAACAAAATCTAACGTTACCCTAATCTTAGCACTAAAAGTACCATCAACTCGTCTTGGTTGCTTATTCACATATCTGTTTATCAAGAAAATTTAAAATATACCTAACATCACAGTTGCATCCTAGGTGCACATAACATACAATTAACCATAAGAGGCCGCCTGTTAAAAATTCAAAGGAAATTGACAATATAAACACCTACTAAGGAAGCTGAGCTCATCACATACCCTTCCTATCCACTTCTAGCTTTTTAAGTGGCTCACACCGAATTTTTTAAAAATTTTATATTGGAGGGGCGCCTGGGTGGCTCAGTCGTTAAGCGTCTGCCTTCGGCTCAGGTCATGATCCCAGGGTCCTGGGATCGAGCCCCGCATAGGGCTCCCTGCTCCGCGGGTAGCCTGCTTCTCCCTCTCCCACTCCCCCTGCTGTGTGTTCCCTCTCTCGCCGTGTCTCTCTCTGTCAAATAAATAAATAAAATCTTTAAAAAAATTTTATATTTAAAATTTGAGTAGTCCCTCCAATCAGGAGATGAAAACTGAATTAATAGGCTACAGCGTTAAAAGAGAATATGCTTTATAAGACCAACCTCCTCCACCTCCAAAGACAACCGTCAATGCTCAGCTGATGCGGACAGAGCTGAGAAAGCATCCTGTAGATAAAAATCTGTCTTCCTTACTGTTTGATGCAGCTTTAAGACCTAAAGCCAAAGCTTGGATCTATTCCAAGTCACAGGTATTCCCCAATTTTGAAAGGTCATGTTATGCCACTTCGCTTTTAAGAAAGACCTACGTTAGTACCCATTTTCACTAACTGAAAGAAATCTGAAGAGGATTTTTGCCTTTCAGAAAAAAAGGCAAAAAAGGGAACAGAGCTTTCAGACTTTGTTCTGCCGTGAATGTGAATAGAGGCAGCGCACCCTGAGCAGCGAGAGTGGTGTCACCAAGTTCTCTCCCTGAGAGCTATGCTCCATCTCGGCATTCAGCTCTCATAGCTTTTGAACTATGTCTGAATATCTGTTTTGTTGTTGTTGTTGTTGTTGTTTTGATTGGTTCGGTTTGGTTTTATCTCCGTTTACTTTCTGCATTTGTTACCAATATGTATCCTAAGGTATTAGAAAAGCCCAAAGAGGTTATTTTTTGTGTCTGGGATGCTCAAAAATTTTCCCATATAAATGAATGGTAATTGCTTCTTTGCTTTATGCCTTTGAGGCTTACAAAAGATTTCATAGGAACACTCGACTTTTGGGTGGGGGTGGGTGGAGAAGCTGTATATGACTTGACTTCTACGAGGCTCAATTTCCTATCCGTCAGAAGACGCAGCTGGATTAGATGGCCTCTAAGGTTTTTTGTTTTTTGTTTTTTGTTTTCCTGATCCTATGAATAATTCCAGAGTCACCTGTGAGGGAGGGGAGGTGACAAGCTGGAGCCTGGCTGGGCTAATAGGAATCCCATGAGCCTAAGATGGACGAGGGATCCTTGACCTCCCATCCACCAGCTCCCTGTCTGCCCTTTAGGAAGGTATCAGCTCGAGCTGACTAAATAAAATCTTTTCTCAAACTTACCTATGAATCCAAAGATGTATTTTATAGTTGGCACAAGGATGACCAAAACATTATTCAGTGCAAGAAGTATGGCTGCAATCAAGAAATGTCTTATCCAACTGAAGGGTCTTTTGGGAAATAAGAGCGTGGTCACTGATGTACGAATCTGCAACAACAAAGTTCAAAGTTGATTTTTATCTACAATTTCAAATATTCTCATCCCTCTAAAGCATCTTCTGCATTTTTCCTTTTTCTCCCAAGAAAGATCTCGATGCTTATTTACCTTTCAAGATTTCATTATTGTGGTAAAATATACATAACATTTACCATCTTACCCATTTTTAAGCGTGCAGGTCAATTATTAAGTACATTGATATTACTGTGCAACCTTGATGCTGACATGTGTTTGAAAGAGTATTTGCCTTGTGCTCACTTTCTCAGCTTTCAGATTTTTTTCTCAAAGATCTCAGAAAGAGATAAAATAACAGGTAAGACATAGAATTTAAGGACATGGTAAAACCCTTGTTGATTTCTAAACATGTCTCGTTAGACTGGATTAAGTATTAAGGGAAAGCACTGAATTGATTTATATACTGCTCGTGAACAGAATTTTTACTGGATTTTTTTTAAAATTTAGTATTGTATTTAGCATTTTTGCCACATGATGTTTTAAAAATATGATACTCTTTGTGTTTGCTCCTTTTCCCCCTCTTTTATCTCTCCCCTTCCTAATTATAGATTATAAATGCACAAAAGTCAAAGAACAGGACCTAATAATTTTAACATTCTTCAAAGTTTCTAGTTTGGTGTCTTGCACACAGCAGGCACTAAATAAATGTTGAATTAAATTGAACAGACAAATCCCTGCCCTCCCTTCAGGAGCCTTGACAGACATCAGCCCTATTTGGGCAGCTACAATAAGTAGGTGAAGGGTCAAGAGAGGCTCCATTTGTAGCAGCCTTTCAAGTTACTGTGCTGTAACCAGATAAAAAGAGCCTGTGGGCAGAGGGACTGCCCTGCCTGCTTGAACAGCTTAACAAAGTAGAAAATACTCTTATCTTTGGAATCTTTTAGAGGACATTTTTTGACTTATTGAAAAGCCAGTAGACTAATTCCACTGAGTGAACACTTCAGTTAAGCTAGGATTTCCCATTTTTAGAAATGCTGGGGTTGATTTTTCTTCTGAAAATTTTACTTCCGAAGTCTCTTACTGGTGGAGAGATGGGAACTCATTTGAGAGAGAAAATGTAAAATGCATTTAGAAACACATGTATGCATGACAAAAATTTGTAGTGTCTAATGGGACATTCCTTTCATACCACTGCACCAAAAATTAAAGCCATCTGTTTAGGTTTCAAAAGCAATTTCATTTCCAGAATGGCAAGCCAGATAGTCTCTGGAAATGGTTTAAGAGTGACTTTGTGAAGGATTTTAAAAATTGGATTAGTTAAAATTATGAAACTTGCTCTGAAAAGTAGGCTGAAGAAAGCAAATGGCTTGAGAACATTTCCCTCTGCTGCCCATAAATTCTACATTATGATCCACAATTTGTGCTTAATCAATCTTGTCCAAACTGGTCTCATTAGGCTTAAAAATGAGCTTTCTACGGTACATCCACATGGCTGAAGGATTTGTCTGAAAGTGCTAAGTGTATAGAATAAACAAGTAGCATGCAGGTTATTTTCAGGCAGAGGTCATTTGTATGTTTTTTTTTTTTGTCTTTTGTTAAAATAATATTGTATATTCAAGAGACTGAGTTAAGAGGTAAACCTATATGTACAGGGTCCCTGAATGTGAATGTAGTTTCCTATGGTCTCATCGCTCCTGGAAAGACTAGGGCCTGATGATGGAAGAGTACAGAAGGTTTACAGGAATCATGGTCAGAACACATGGGGAAAGCTGGCTCCTCACAGCAAAGAAAGAAGAACAAAATCCCCAACAGAACTGAAGGCATTTGGAGCTGCCAGTGCATTCCTAGGAAGGATAAGAGGGCAAACTGGGAGACAGCAGGCTGTGGCTGGTGGGAGGTGGTGGTGGAAAAGGAAAAGAAAACCTGTTGGTCATTCTATGTTAAAATGCTGCCTTGAGAGGTGAGCTTGGATCAATAGGTCCTCCGCAGTTCTGTTTACCTATGTCAGGAGCGAGGTAAGTCTGGCCTGTTACCCACAGTGCACTGCCTGCTGTTCCACTTATCTAAGCGCCTTTTCTCTACTGACACAAACTGATAAGAACCTGGAAATGTGGGTCAGATGCCATGGGAGGTGGGGGGAATGTCCATAGCAACGGCCATGGCCTCTGACCCAGAATGATTCCAGAAAGGTCCTTGGCAGCTCTAGAAAAAAACATCTGCTATTTCCAGAGAGTGTATTCGGAATAGGAGTCTGTGAGGGGGTGCTATGTTTGAATCCGGGGACCCAATGTGAGGCTGAGTAGAAAGTGGGAACCTTCGTTAGGTCTGAACTCGTAAAAATAAATCAATCCTATGGTTTAGAAGTGAATCACAGTTTCACTTTGTAACATTGCTTAGGACAAGTGTGTTGGAAATATCTGTGGATCACTAGTCTATTCCAGTTCATGGCAATATTTGCAATATTTCTATGCCTATATCTAATGGGGGATCTGAAGGCAACATCAATGAAAAGAATGACGTCACTATTGTAAAATATAAATAGCTAGAAAATCTGAGATGTGATTATTATTTTTTTAAGGTATGGCAAACAGAATGTGAGTCTGTGTTCTTAATAAACTCATTAGGATTATCTGATTTTCTGTTTTTCATGGTGATGTGTGAACTTTACTGCATAAAGAGAAGTATAATCTGAAAATGGTGTTCATAGTCTTTGGGAAGGAAGTGCAGTTCCATAATGGACAACCTTGCCTATACCACCACCACCCCAAAACTAGAAACAGAAATATTGGGACACTAGTGAAAAAGCAGTTCACTTCATTTATTCATTTGCTCGATAATCATTTTTGTGCTCAATATGTGTCTTTAATTAAGAAGGAAAAAAACTGACCTAACTGGAGAAAATAAAGATAATAAATGGAATAATCAAAGGAAAATCCATCCAACCACCCAACAACAGCAACACCTTTGTCTCTTCTTGGATTCCTAAGAAAAAGAGCCCACTTATCATTTGTTGAAAGAAGTAGAATATAAATTTATACCTAAAATTGAGAGGTTTTAATCCTAATAGATTAGGTTTTGTTTGTTTTTATTATTTGTATGTGGGGATATCAAAGCAAAGTAAATAAATTTCTTACTGGTCAAGAGTTTCTTAATTCAAAGAAACCCTCAGGAGAACCCTGGCATGCATGACTCAGTGTTTGCCACGTTGAAAGTCATGGCTGCAAGTCGTAAGGAACAAACACACCATCAACTTCTCATGCTTTAGGGGTAAAGTGTCTGAACGTAGCCTTGTGGGTTTGACTGGGACAAGGAGGCTTTTTTTGCCCTCCATCAGACCCATGGAGGCTTGGTTCATTTAGCCCAGATCCTCACCCAAACTGAAGTTCATGGCAAATGTCAGTAAGGGGAACAGCCTCTGCTTTTGCCAGAAAAGACAGTTTATACATCACCAGAAAAGGCAAGATTCTTTTGGAGACCATTTTTTCCTGGCAACCATTGCTGAGCTCCTGAGCCAGTCACTGTGCACATCCTTAACCTCCAGGACTTTTAACCCAGGGGAGAAGGTGGGCACTTACACAGATGATCTCAATGTAACAGTGTAAGGTCAGAGACAGAATGAGGTGCAAAATGTTTCATAAATGTCAGTGTTGGGTGAAAACTCTTACTTAAGGAGAACAGTTGTTTTTCTGAAATTTGGTTCTCCTAGTCAGTCTTGATTCTAAGGTTCATCTCATGGAGAGGTTTCCTACCTACTACTGTTCTTGATGGTCTGACTTCTACCAGTGCCTTATCTGTGATGAGAGAAAGAGCTTCTGTGGGGAGATCTAGATTTCAAATGTTGAGGTGAAATGACCACCAGTAGATGAAAGGCTGACTTCCACTTCCCATTATCTTGACACCAGCCATCAGGGTCCTGCTAGGAGCACTGCATTAGTCAACTGTGACTGACTAGCTTCATGACCACGGCCAAGTCCGTTAATCTCCCGAGACCACAACATGAAAGCACTATATTTAGGGCTTATGAAGAAAACAATACAGAAGCACATAACAGATTTCTTTTGTACATTACTTTGATTCGATAATGATGGGAGTGCCTACTGTGTGCCAAAAATTAGTCGGTGATATCTTTACACACAAAAAGAAGGGCTTCAACATTCTTTCCTCAGAGACAGTGTTTGCTTGGAAATTTTACCCTATGGTACACTTTCTGTCTACAGCTGTCTTCTGCCTTGTACCCATGATGGAGCTGATTTTAGGCTTAAGCTGTGTGCATGTCATTTGAAATACTTTCAGACACATGAGAGGCAAGATATTATTTAAGAGTAAAATATTAGCCCTCCTGGTAATAAGGATCTGATTTCATGCACTCATGAAAAAGGAATGTGTCAAAAAATATTTCGGCACACAAGCTGCATTTAAAGTGACCACAGTGTCATTATAGGAGTAGTCCTCATATGCTGGGCCCCGTATGGAACATTCTGTACAGGATGGCGCTGGTTACTAGGTTGCTTATTTTTCCCCCTAAAATGAATGAGTAAATTCAGTATTTATGAAAGGAGAACAGTTGGCAGGAGAATGCAGACCCGTGTTTATCCATAGGTGGTGGTTTTAACTCATGCAGCCCAAATCTCTTCAACCAGCCCTGCCCTGTGATCTCAGAATGAGTGATGCCAAAGGCAAATGCCAAGAAGGGGAATCCCAGTAGGAGTCTGACAGTTTTGGGGATTGTAAAAGAGATATATGAGGGGTAATATGACATTTTTCAAGAAATTTAGTTCTAGCATGTAATTTACATAAGAGGATTCCCCTTCTCATTGGTCTTCAAGGAGTCAGATGAAGGCGACTTTCTAATGTTACCGCAGCACAACACACTGGGGGGTGGGAGGGAATTAAATACCTTCAGAACTGGTGAAAACGCAATGAACTGCAAAGAAATGTGGTTTTGGCTTTCAAGTTTCAGAAGTTCTGTGAACTCCTACTCATTTCTACTAACCCACAAGATAGAAACTCAGGATCTGCTTTTTGAATTTGAGCCTAACAATAAATTTTGACTTCAATAAACCTGGAAAATAAATATAGAAATACAGTTGGTGATTTTTTTTCCTCCTATATTTTAAAAGTGTTTAACATCTAAAAATATTTGTTATAACTTACATATTAAATTGTCCATTTTAAATGGCTCCAAAGTGCTATATAAAAATGTCTTCAGGCATTGCAATTGCAAACTCGCATCACAAGGAAAGCCACATCAAATGGGAACATATATACTAGCTGAGGTTAAGCAGGATTCTTCCATCAAAACTTCATGTACTTACTGGAAACAGGACAATGGGTACCGTTAGTGTCACAGCCACAAGGACCGCCAGGCGTACCATGAGGAGAGGGGTGTCGAATGTGTAGACTTTGCTGTAAGCGTGTAGTAATTCGTCTTCAACTTCTCCTACAAAGACGAAGAAGAGAATGCATTCACTTGGTGCTGTCAGGGCCATACCAACTGTAACATTTTACAAAGGGAACACAGTTCAATGGGGAGAAAAACAAACAAACCCCCAGGTGTGGGAATCTAGATACCTCTGTTTTAATCCTGTCTCTGAGCTTATTAGTTGTGTGACTTTTCTTCAAATGAACAAGGGAACCCTGAAGCTCATAAAGTTGCTGAAGCTAGAATCAAATTATGCAGGTGCCTCTCTAGCTCATTTACTTCGTGGTAAGTCTATCTCTGCTGTATGGGAAGCCTTGCAAAAGAGGTGACAGGCTGAGGTGCTCTGTTGAAGGGGATCAAAGAGCCAAACCCCACCAGCCTGTCCCTTGCATCCGCCAACCCCCCTCCACTCCCACCTTCCCAGTTAGCTTTGATGCAGCTTCTCTGAACCTAGTATGGAAACCTTAGGACAAATGAACTCTAACATTTTTCTTCAAGTTCAACAATTATGACGACTTCATCATGACACTGATACAGACTTTTGGGGATTTTTCAAGCTTTTGCTTGTCTTAAGAGACTCATTAGGGTCAGTATAAGGACATGCAAGGATGAATTAGCATGATTTTTACAGGGTCTCTTAATGGATGTTGATCTAAGATTAAGATGCCACCCACCTAGAAAACGTATTCATTCAGAATTCCAGACACAAATGACATGGAGATGCTTATAGAATCAGATGTAGTTTGATTTTTTTTTCCTCCTTACCCCCCCCTCCAAACCAGACAGAGAGGGGTAAAAATACCTTCCATAGTTTTGATCTGAGTTTTATTAATTCACGGTACAACAAAGAGTTCGTGCCCAATCTAAAGTGAGTGCTTGGTTAATAGTCAAATATTAGTCAAATGGAAAAAAACCCAAGTAAATGGTGCCTCCTCCCTAGTCTTTTCCTCCACAATTTGTCTTGAATCAATTTAACTTAGTGAATCGGGAAAAAGAAAACTAAACGGAAAAGTTAAAGAGGTTTATATAAAAGATAGGTTTACGTTGCTAACATTGATTTGTGACAACAGGTCAATGTTAGAATCCCTGAAATATGTCTATAGGGGCTGTAACAATCCTATTTCTTTTGTGTCCATTAAGATGCCATAGGCAAATTGTTTTAGGCATAATCTAATGTGTCCATAAGTTGCTTTTCTTTGTTTTTGGTAGTACATTCCCATATTGGAGGGAATTCTGTCATGTCTTCTTTTCTCGGGAAACCATTCACCATAACAGAATAGAACGGGATGAGGCAAAAAACTTGCCTAACGCTCCAAGCCCCCAGATTCCACTTGCCTGGTAAACAAAAAGCAGGTTCCAACTCTAGGACTTTGTACTTTTCCTACCACTTGTTTGGTAGTTAGTTATTCTACGAAAAAACTTTACAATATACAACTGGACTCACTGTCATTGCTTCTAGCTTGAGATGGCCTAGGGACTCAAGCCAAAGAAATATAATCTACCTCTTAGGGAAAATAATTTAAATAAGAGGGCTGGTTTTCATAAAATATGTGTGAATTCACAAATGGTTGTAACTTGTTGGCCAGGCTGGTTCAGGTCCCATTTTCTTAGGTCAAGTGACAAGGCTAACATAGCATGTTAATTGATTATGTGTACTAGAGATCATGCTGCTTAGAGAGGGCGATTAAAAGAATTATACCCAACCAGGTTAATGATCAGTCCAACTAGGATGTGCATGAAGAGAATGACTTTGACAGAGTGACCTACCATAGAAGGTTAGGTAGCCAAAGAGGGCAGCAAGCAGGTACATGACGAGCATCCCCGTGATGGAAATATTGGACACTGTCTGCATCTTCCTCCGGGACCGACTGAAAAGAAAACACCAAGCTTTGTGGGTTGTTGTTTTTTTTTTTTAACTTGTGAAAGTACCACTTATTATCATTAAAATTTTTAAAAAATAGTGAAAGAATGTATGCCTGTGTTTGCTTTTATAAAACCATGTTTCTAGTGCAGAAACATAGCTTATTTAGACTTGTCTTTGAGAGCCATGGAGGATTTGTTTCCATTTTTCTCTTCTCTCTCTTTTTTTTTTTTTTAAGATGTATTTATTTGAGAGAGAGAGAGAATGAGAGAGAGAGAAAGAGAAAACACGAGCAGGGGAGGGGGAGAGGGAGAGAGAGAATCTCCAGCAGATTCCCCGCCGAGGGCAGAGCCCGATGTGTGGCTCCGTCTCACGACCCTGAGATCATAACCTGAGCTGAAATCAAGAGTCAGATATTTAACTGACTGAGCCACCCAGGTGCCCCTGTTTCCATTTTTCTTAAGCACTACTCCTTCAGTCTAAGGGACAACCGTTTTCCTAGAAGACTAATTTATTTTGTGTTGATAAATATACTTGTCTACTGAGTGTTCAAGAATATAATTAACATAGAGATCAAACTGGCTCCTAATGTGGAAACCGTTAATATTTCACAGTGAGATGGGTTTAATGAGGACACAAACCTACTAGAATCAGCATAGCACAGCTTTCATGAGTCCAGACTACCAGGAAGCCTGGACAGCTTCTGAAAACCATTCTGGAGAGCAGCCAGCTGCTAAAGGTCAACTGTCAGGCCTCCGAAGTAACTGCTATCACTTCTTGATCTTTGGCTAAAGTCAAGTGTAGGGTAACTGCTACATGTGATTTTCCAAGTAAACCAAAGACATCAAAATAATTGAAAGTATTCCAAAAATTTCTTACAAGGTAAATCAGATTTTGTGAGGCAAGTTATTGCTATTTACAGAGAGTAAAGAGTGAGGTTATTGATACCTGGATTAAATAAATTTAGAATTATTATAGGACACCCTTCTCTAAAGGTAAAGGGGAAAACTGTGCTAGTAGGCTCAGGCATACTTCATACCTAAGTAGATAGAGGTCAACAACTTCAAAGGGAAAAGACTATTAATGAATCACAGAATTTCAGCTACAAGAAACAAGATTGGTTAGCCAGTGTCTCCACATAAGACAATGAAGGCCAGGTTTTGGCACATCCTTGTGGTGAATGTCTTCTAGACGAGGGTTAGGGACTGATCACAAGTGAACTCAATGGCTTAGCAAGGCAACCCTAACCATAACTTTTGGTCTTCATGGCTATGGTCATTTCCAGTTGAGGTGACGACATTCCCAGCAAAATTCAAATTCAGATTCCTCATGCCTGCCAAAATTCTTCTAGCCATTGGCTCCTCCTCCCCCTGCCCTAAGCAGGATCATAGTATGGAGAAATGGGAGGGAAGGAAGCAAATAAGGTAGTGCAGTGAGGGGGCTGATTCACACCTTTTTTGGTTAAAGTACATCCCTGATGAGTGGAATGTACCACAAACTTTCTCTGGAGAAAAAGCCATTAACCATGTTTCCATATAAAGCACCTTTGAACATACGAAGCACATTTTCAAAACAAATTAGAATGCAAACATGAAGGCTGCCTTACTCTTTAAGTTCACTGTAGATGGGAAGGACCTCTGGATGGCACACAAAAGCAAATGCTAGGATAGGAATCGCGTAGGCCGTCTGAAAAACAAAGATAACAATGCTGGTGTAGCATTCCAACACAGACGACGACCCCAAACCATCTCCATTTATAAAATAGAGATTCAGCTGTAGTGTTAGGCTGATCACTTACCCGGGAGTTGAATACAAAGTATTTGGGTTGACACTTGTCATCACTGTGTGCTTCGTACTCTACTCCGCTGCCATGAAGAGAGCCCTTGGCCTGGTTCTCATCTAGCCCTGCAGGATTCTGGTGGGTGTAATCCATCATGAAGTTCACCCCACTACTCTCGGAGTTGTTAGGCAGCATTACCATGTGCACTGGAAGTGTATTGTTGAATGTCAGATTTCCAACATTGTGATCCAGAACAGGCAGAGGGCAGGGTATTTGGAATTTCTTGTAAATCACCTAGGCCCAGCCAAAAAAAAAAAAAAAAAAAAAATCAGCCTTTTGAGGAAAACAATGAAACAAAAATCCATATATGTGGCTTATGGGGTAGAGGTGAAGAGCGTCTGCTGAGGATTCCTTCTAGGCTAATGGACAACGGAGACTCCCTCTAGCCTCTGCTCTAAGGAAACAGTTGGAACGAGGGTCGCCCCTGAGAGTCAACAGGACGGTATTTTGCATGAATCCATCCTAAGTATTCTTCTGTGAGAAAGGTGATCATTGCCTTGCTACACTTCATATCTTTTAATTCTTCAAACTAATATAAATAAATATAAAAAATTCTCCTTTGCCTTTTTAGAGAAATGCATATACGTTTTGGCATCCATGATATTACAAAAAAAAAATCTCTCCCTTTTGGTGGGGAGTGGGGGCAGTGGGGAGAAGAATTTCTTTTTTAATTCCACTGGGGTCGCCCTCTTTTCATTGGTGGAATACGCAGGAGAAAATGACAGATTGATGTAGATGTGGGTAATTCTACAGCCTACTCATTTCTCTTCTGGGACTCTTCACTTCTTCCTCCACCTTTCTAAATGGAAGGTCGTTGTCATATCACTGCTTGAAGGATTCCTTTTGTCCAAATATACATCCTGTGTGCTTTGAACATAGTATTAGCCATGGCCTTGACATTCTAACTCAACTATTTTTAAACTCATGACTGTCCTTTCCTCATTCCAAATTAGAATACAAGAAAATGGTTTGTGATGCAAGAAGTATTTCATGCTAGTGAAATGCTTGAACAAAAATGAGGACACTAAGTCAGGGACTAATGTCTCATGCTCACCAACCTGCAGGGATCATGTCAATAAATCACTTACCACACTGACAAAAAACACCATGCAGGTAAGAGAAAATCCACTGGTATAACCAAGGTAACCTAAAAGTTAGCAGAGAAATTCTGGAAGGTGAATATGGTTTCTACAATTGGCCCACCTATTAGAATATGAAAATAAAAATTAAAAATGACTTTACCTAAATTTTTAAGAAGAGAAAGTGGAAGAATGATTCCAAGAGACACAAATATGACGAGGTAGTTGCCATTGAGGTACCATTCTCTGAAAGAGAAAGAGTGGCAAGAATATTAGGATGCGCCTGGGTGGCTCAGTTGGTTAAATGTGCAACACTTGATTCATTATCTCAGCGTCATGAGATCGAACCCTGCTTTGGGCTCCATGCTGGCCATAGAGTCTGCTTAAGATTCTCTCTCCTTCTGTCTCTCCCCACCCCACTCTCTCGCTCAAAAAAAAAAAGGGGGGGGGAAGAAAGAAAAAATCAGGATCAGAAAAGACCAATTAGAATGAGTCAACGGATGTTACAGAGAGAACATAAGACATACCCAGTATTTTCTTCAAGTCCCATGAAAGCTCTGATTACTTCAGGTAGTTCATATTTAATGATAAAGAGGTAGCTGGACATTGCTAAAATGGAAAACGTGACAGCTTAGTGGTGTACATAGCACTAAAGTCGCAGGCAAGTTGTGAGAAGTCCCGGCATTTGGGACATTCAGTCTTCTGGTAAGATGAGCATCTAATCCCCCAAACGGAAAGAAAAGCCACCCAGTGTGTTTTGTACGGCTTCCAAGTTCTTTTCAAAAATAGATATTTGGCCCTCTGGCTCTTGCACATGGATCTTTGCTAACAGTATCAATGCTGATTCTGTTTTTAATCCAGCTCTGAGGTTTTCAATGATGTTGCTTTTTCAAAGTTTCCCCCTAATTAGTTATAAGTCATCATGGCCTGTACGGAGGGCCTGTTTTAGTGTCCATCACTTGGGCAGGGGTCTGGCCACAAAAGGAGAGAGGGTAGTTCCCCAGGTGGGCACTGGTCTAGTCCTCTGTAACCTCCCCAGGGGGCACCCAACGCCTCAGAGCACGGATCGTCGCAACTAGAGGCTGATTGGATTGATAAAAGAATGTAAGAGATGACAGCTTCTCCCACCTTGGTCAGTGAATTTTTTTCTCTATATCCCAGTCTCCTTTTGGCCAAATAAGAAATTATACAACATGGCAAAATTCTTGAGCTTCTACATAAGTGATATGATATGTGATAAGTGATATGTTATCATGTACTCTTCTGAAAAATCTGTTGATATAATCTATAAACCCTCTCCCTGGAAAAACGTGTATGTATACATATTCATAACGTATAACGTTGCCTAAAGTTGTAGGGATTGATGGAACTTCTCTTTCCCAAGTCCGTCCATGCCGTGAAGTATAATGTTAATTTGACACAGGATCCAGGAAGTTAAAAATAAAATTCATTTTATTAATTTAAATTAAAAATAAGACTGACAAGTTTTGCAATGCAATGTGTAAGTGTGTGCTACATCTTTCTGGTGAATTTTTGCTCATAGACTTGTGAAAGCAGATATCTAAGTTGCAAATTGTACTATTAATAGTTTCAAAGGATTTTTTTAACCTCCAACAAAAGTAGTAATTGGCATCCATGATATTACAAAAAAAAAAAATCTCTCCCTTTTGGTGGGGAGTGGGGGTGATATGGTGATAATGATTCCCTACACTGTTTACTCCTGCAGATTACTCCATTCAATCAGCTAAAAAGCCACGTAAAACAGCAAGGTATAGGTTATTTTCATTCCACTGCTGAGGATAGATATGTTTGAAAGCTTTCTTGACATGTTCAGGATCTCGCAGATTGAAAACAACAGACCACATCCAAAATATAAGATCCCTGACTTCAGGCCAGTGTTTCTTCTCTATTGTGAAGTGAAATGATTTTTACAATACCTGACGTGTCTTCTGTAAATATTATTTGGTTAATCTTTACAAAGACCTTGGCTAACACTAAATCTTACAGAGCGCAAACAGAGGAGATATTTCTGATTAACTGGCTCAGTGAGGTACCATTCAATTTTAGAGCTATTAATTGCTGACTTTCAGTGATGTCACCACTGTTAATGTGTTTGGTCTTCGAAAATTTAGAATGATCCAGACCTGTCTGGGTAATGTCAACATTATTCTGCTAATGTTGAAACATCTGTGGTAAATGTTAATTTTTCAGGGGATTGAGAAAATTAAACTTTCTAAATGTGGAGTTGCTAAATACAGAAATACAAGTGATTTCCCTTAGGCTAATATAACTACTAATCACATAGAGTAACCAAAGTGAGAGCATTTTCAGGAACGGTATATGAAATTTTGTTTTACTCCCTTAAAGCCACACTTCCTTCATGCGTATGCATCTTGATTGAGAGACCATTTTATAGTTTACTCTATTATTTAGAAGGATAATGGTAGTTGTACTTTGAGCAAAAGACAGTGCTGTTTCTCCTCAGCTCGTTGGGTTTAGGGCTAAATATGTGTATATCCAGTTATTTCAGTTATCCAAACAAGTAAATTAGATCAACTATGAGGTGATCCTATGAAATGCCTGACAGTTTAAGTCTTGAAAGGGCTGAAAATTTGAACCAAATGTAAAGCAGTCTATTCGATGGGGGATAGGGAGCTTATATCCTTGTGGCCTGAAACCAGTAAAATGTAGGAAACAATCCTGGTATTACTGCCAAATTCTACCCAGGTCTATAGTCTTAATATATACAAATATGAAAAGAAATAAATACAAATCATTAAGATATGCCTGGATTTTATTAATCTGCTTACCAACCATCCATTAGCAGGAGGAGGTATAGTTGGATAAAAGTTATTAAAAGAATTGCTGCATTCCAGAAATCCTAGGTAACTCCAATGATTTTGTTTAAAAAGAGTTACCTCCTTGCAAGATCTCTGTGCAAATTTATTTATTGCAGCAATTGTTTGTCATAGTGAAAAACTAGAAACAATCCAATATCAATAAGGGATTCAGTAAACCCATTATGGTACATTTGCACAATGGAAAATTCAAAAGCCATTTAAAAGAATAATATGCAAATACATTCAAGGCGTATTGTCAAGTAAAAAAAGGAAGCTGCAAATCAGTATTATAAGATGATCCAATTTTATCAGTAACAATATATTTATTAAATTTTGCATAGAGGAAAACCTTGGAGTAGCTATTTTTAAGGGTGACTTATATAAATATTTCTTTATAATTAATATATTTATGTAATGTTTTAGTTTTTCACAATTAGCATATATTTGTCTTATAATTATAAAAACGCCCATTTAAAAAATAACCAGGAGGGCTCCAGAGACACTAAATCTGAGAACTAGGGAGGAAAGGATGTGCTGAACCCTTCTTATGTGCCATATGTTGTCTGATTTCACCCTCACAATGACCTTGTGAGATGGAATATAATTCTCATTTTCATAGATGGAAAAATTAGACTCAGACGAGTAAGGTCACAGACAATGACAGAAACAGACTCAAATTTAGGTGCATCAGACTCCAGAAGTCTATTCTCTACTCAGGGCTTTAAAATATTTTTTAAAAGCAGTAACATGTCAGATACATACAAACAGGACCAAGGGAACCTGGAGGGACTAGTACCTACTAGTCTAGAGAAGCGATGGGTCATGGGAGCAAACAGAAAGAATGTGTGTCTTGTGGGGGGGGGTGTTGGGGGCCTCCAAGAGTAGGGGAACTGAGTATGTTTGTTACGGTATGACAGGACATATAAAAGCTAGCTAGCTAGCTAGGTCTTGAGGTAGTAGGAAAGGTATCAGAAAGGTAGGCAGAAGAAAGATGAAGATCCTCACATAACAAGCCAAGGAGTTTAAGTTTTAAACTGAAAATAATGAGGGCATGCTGAAGAATTTTATGCATGTGAGAAGCGAGACTAGATTTGCATTTGAGAAAGTGAATTTGGAGGATAAATCGGAGATAGGAGCAGGAGAAACTCAAGGCAGGAAGCCCAGTTAGAAGGCTCCTGCAAGAGTCTGAGCAGAAACAGTGACCACCTGAACTGTGATAGAGAGACTAGAGGAAAGGAGAACTTCTCAAGGCAGGTAAGAAACAGAATGGACAAGAGTAGGTATTTGATTGAATGATCAGGATTAAGGGGGGAGGGAGAAGTTTAGGATGACACCTATCATGTTTGGCTCAAGAAACTGGAGGCTCCTGGTATTATTCATCGAGAGAAGAAAGAAAGAACAGAATAGCAGGTTTGGGGACTGGAGAGGAGGTGAAGAAGTAGGCACCACTGTGTGATGATAGACTCCAGACCGTGCAAGAGGACACAGGCAGTAGGACATAGGAATTAGGGGTCTGGATGCCTTCTGAGGGTCAAAGACTCCATAGGACCTGTGAAGCTGGTGGGCAAACATCACCTGGAACACTATTAAAAATACACATTCCTAGGTTCCACTCTAGAAATTATCATTTAGTAGGAATTATAAGAATCTGTAGAACCAAGGAATTGGTGGTTTTATTATAATGCTCCCAATATCTACCTAGTCAGATTTTTGCTTTAGCCCAACTTCTCAGGACATACTCCAATAGGCTGGCTCTGTGAAGGCTGTCTCAAGGAACCACCCCCCGCCCCCATATTTGGCTATGCCTTTCAGATACTTAATTTTCAGTTTTATGAAATAAACTCAGTCATACATATGAAACATCAACTGTTCTGACAAAGACAGAAATAAGCACTAACGATTTCATTTTTAAAATTTAAATGAAAGCCACAATAGCATTTGATATCAAGAAAGCTTTTATTTTCTATTTTACTTCTAGAATTCATTTGGTGGGATCCTATATAATATTCTCTTAGATGTTGTTATTTTTTTCATTAAAGAAAGACAGCAAATCTACTTAAGAATCCTTATTTTTAAAATTTCTGAAAATAAAGCAGCTGTTTTTCTGTATTTAAAGTACTTGTTCATTGCCGTAAGAGTTTTCTGGTTTATTGAACATTCTTTAGAAAGTTCAAGTGGTAGTGAATATTATATGCCCTTACCTCCAATGTTCTGCATTGTAATGGAAACAAAAGCTCCGATTTTCCCAGGCCATCCAAATGCCTTTTCCCCTAGTTTTTCATAAATTAAAGATCCTGTAATAAGAAGTAAAAACAAAAAAAACGAAAAGAACAACCTTTTAAAAGGATTGTTTTAATGACTAGAATATTTCTATAATTGTGCACTGGAGTCTCAAATGTGTACATAAACACCACATAGAAATTATAAACCCCAAAGATGCAATCTCAGAAGCCAGTACAAAATCTGTTAAATGTTCTCCAGACAAGAAGCAATGGCTTCATTCATCTTAGCTCTGTGCAGCAAGTCAGAACTGTTATTTCTGTCATCCATCAAGACTCCTTTTTCCTATTTGGCTTGAACCTCAGCCAGTTGCCTTTCACTTCTCTTAGCTACCTAATTACTAAAAACATTGAGAGGCCATGTCGTTGGGGTCAGAAGAAAATGAAATGTGAAATTGACTAAAATCCTCCGACGGTTAGAGAGCAATAGACTGAACTACCCTTTAACAAGAATCGAAACGGAACATCTTGGACTTGAGGGGTAGCATACCTCCTTCCTTGGCGGTCTTTAATAAAAGGTGAACTGAGTAGAGGGATAATATTGCCACGGCAAGCAGCAGGGTTCTGGGAAGGGAACAGAGAGTAGACCGTAAATTTCTATAATAAATAAGACATCCTCACATTCGATATTATAAATTATCGCACTGGTCCTTTCAACCATTAACTTTCCGAAAGTATGTGGGTTTTTGAGAAGCTGAGAAATTCTTTTCTGAACTCCACGCATACCCTGTGCTGTCACACAACTGGAATTTGCTGTATTTTATGTGCTAAAACATACCACCAGAAGTTCCCCTCTAGCCGAGGTTGGTTCATAACTTAGATGCTAAATGTATAGCAAAATTAGCAAATACTCTCTCTACTTATTCAGCATATGGCTATATGTCCATCATATTTGGGTGTTATTCTCAGGAACATTTATAACTGAAGGACTATTTGACAAGCTGGCTAAGCCTTAATGTAAAAATCTAGAAATACCGAGGCCGGAGCATGCAGTCTAACCTGCATTACTACTGACCCTGCACATGAGATAACAAGATACCGTGTGAGCCGGAGGGTCAGGCCGTTGCCCGTATAATAGAACAGAGAAGGGGAAGGATAGGGTGCAGAAAAATGCCTTTTTGTGTTGGGGTCAGAAAGAATCATTTCTGGCTCTGGACCCGCTACAATGTCCACAGGCATGTACGGATTCTCTACGCAGAGAGTGATCAGTGTTTCTCCAAAAACAAGAATTGGAAAGCAAAAATAAAAGCATCTATATAACAAATAAAGGAATAATACTAAACTTTACCTGACATCTAAAGCAAAAACAAAAACAAAAATAAAACCCTTATTCTTTGTTTTACATGACCAGAACACATTAAACATTTTCCCCACAATCGATCTAATTCTTCTTCGGTAATTCCTGACGAAGTCAATGTTGCGAATGTATATTTGGGCCATGAGTTACAAATTTTTATAACTACTCTAGCTATCTTGTGCTCTTGTTTTCCACAAAATGTTTACCAGAACTGTCTAATCAATGACTTATTCATATATGTTTCCATATGCCTTGTGAACTTACCTGTTTTTAAAGATGAGATTCAGATTACAGAATTTTATCTCTTGCAAAAATAATGAGCATTCCCTGTATTCTAAACACATACTTTCTTTGGCAGAAAATACTAAAAGTAAAACCAATGAAATCCTGTGTCAGTCGCTGTGAGTTAAGGGGGTTAGCCGAATTCAATCTGTGCTTCTTGGATACACAGAACATACCTCACGATGTCCAACAATGTAATTGCTCTGGACAGTTTAATCTGTTAAATGTTTAGGTCTGAAATGAAGCCCTCGGTTTTAAAAGTGGAATATTCTACTCCCTTGAAAATGATCTTGTGACCCTAGGCCTAGGATCGGGGGAAGAGTCTCTTATTTCTATTCATCAGTGATTGATGATAACTTCCTAATTGGAGAAGGCAGTCTGCCTTAGAGATAGTGCCTATTACAAAAGTATACAACTGTGTGTATGAATACATCTCTAAGCCATTAAGATTCAGAGAATTAAAAAAAAAAAACTACTTCGTTTCAAACATGACGTTGATATAAAAATCCGTTCAGCTAAAAAATATTATACCCAAAACAGATCAGAGCAGTAACACAATATAAATATTTATAGTCCTGCCTGCTCCTTAGCCCTCAAATAGCTGTGTGATTATCTAATCATAAATGATGCTCAAGACATAAATAGCATATATTTATAACATAAGCATTGCATTCATAGACAGCTATTTAACACTCTAGCATTGCACTAGGGATGGCGATCTGTATTCACGCTGATGCCTGCCTAATATTAGACTATTCCTGTGAAGAATTCCACTGCTGCCAACTGTGTCTTAGAAAATACCAGGCTGTACGTGATGCACACAAACGTCTGTGGCTGTTTGTCACAGACGATGTGGTGTCCATCCTCCAGGTCGGCCATGTGACCCTGCTACCCTTAAGCAGCATTTGACCAAGTACATAGGTTTAGGAATAAACTCTGGCCACTCTGCAAATATTTCTGTGCCAAGTACTGTACTAGGTCTTGGGGATACAGACATGTGGTGAGTGAAAACAGATGTGGGCTCAATCCCCTGGAGATTATAGTCTAGCAAGGGAGAGAGATACTAACCAAATAAATTGGACTACTGCACTAAAATATTAAAATTATGGGGAGTGTACAGTAAGGTGTTTGTCCTGGGCATGGAGGCCAACAAAGGCATAACTCAGGTGAGGATGAGCTGTGCTATGAGGAGTCAACTAGATGAAGAAGAAAGGGAAAGGAATTCCAGGACCCTGTGCAAAGGTCCTTTGGTGAGAGGGGAACATGGCACCTTCTGGGGTGGAGAGAAGGCCAGTGTGCTCATTGCATCAGGCATCTAGGGGGTGTAGGGGATGGGGCACAAGATGGGACCGGAGCATACAGGACTCTAGGCCTGGTTTGGGATGGCATTCTTTTCCTCACAGTGTGATACAGTCGGATCTGCTTCGGGGAAAGATCTTTTTACGGTGAATCACTTTGTAAAATGCTTTCTTTGAACTGGTAGGGCTGTTCCAGTACTTTGGGTGGTTGAGCACATATAGTTTCTGCCGGTTGGTTAGGGGCAGCTGGTTGAAAAAACACCATGATTAGTCTGCTCTGATTAGTCCTCAGGTTGCTGTTTTATCTAGATGCCCGAGAATATGCTAGTAATTTCTCAGATCATTCCTGTTCACAAAGATCAAACTTGAGATTGTTAATTGAAAGAACACCAGGTGTGCATGGGCTTTGAACCAGATGTACTTACATAAAAAGTATGATCCCCGTGTTGGCCATGGCATAGGACAGCCCCAAGATTCCACTGCCCATGATGGCATTACTCAGGTTGAATGAAGACATTCCAAAGGAGGTGGTTCCAGGATGCTTCAAGAAAAAAGGGCATATTTTAAGCAAATATTTGCCAAAGGAGGAACCCTTTTCAAATTATTCTTATTCTCACATTATCTTTTATTGGAGAAGCTTACAGTTCAAAATTGAAGAGTGAGATAAAATCACAAGTGAGTAAAAAGCTGTTATTTCAATAAAAGCATATAATTTTCAAAGGAATGCTTGGTTTCAGCAGGGGTCTCAGGGAAAAAATAGAAAATACAAGTTGGGTAATGTAAAGAAGGGAAAGCATGTCTGATTGCAGATTACATTTGGGTTAGAATGATTTCTCCAAAAAACAAATGAATTTCATAAATGATTTATGTAGCCATATGGCGAACAGGAAAAACAAGTCCTTATTCCAGTAAGGGCCTGAATAAACAGAGAATGTGCTGATCAAGCCTTGGAAAATTTCAGTCACATTGTTTTCCCACAGAGACCTAGGTAGATCAGGCACCCTTGAGTCCTGTTTACTGCCCAAAAGCAGAAATTCACTTACATGTTCATCATCATAATCTGCCAGCTTCTTTTCCCCTAAAAATCCATTTGTCAGGAATTTCTGACTTTCAGCATCTTCATTAGTAAATTGACTGGATGCACATACAAAAAAGAAAATGAAGGAAAAACAGCTAAGTAAATGCTCTGAATTATATTTATGTTTCTGGTGATCTAAGTCACTGAATCGGGGAGGAAAAACAAGGCACTTAAAACTTTTTTTTTTTCTCTCTTTTGTTCCTTCATACTAGTGTTCCTTCCAGACCAACAACTGAGCTCTATTCGTGAATATACTTTGGGAAGGAGAAAAGTTATGAAGGAAGAAAATAATTTTTTAAGCCATATTTCTTCTTTCCACAAGAATTGTGCCCAAAAAAATGAATAATTACAGCTAATTTTTGTTTTCACTTTGGGCCCTCCCAAAGAGAAGGTATAGAGCGGTGACTGAGTTTTCTCCGTTACTACCACACCATAATCAGACGATTGTATTAATTCAATAAATATTAAGTGCCTAAGCATGTGATCTTCATCTCATTCGATGTTCAAATATCCCTATGAGAGGAACTTTCAAGCCCCTGCCCTACAGATGAGGTGACCCTGGCTCAGAAAAGGGAAGTAACATGCCCACACCCACCCAACTCCAAGTCTAGGGTCTTCCATGGTGCCCTGCAGTCCCAGGCAGGACCCCATAGCTAGTGTTTTCCTTTTTTCTTGGCTCCACCTGTGTATTCACATATCCCTTGCTGGAATGTAGTTCAGTGGTAGCTCTGTGTTGTGTTTGGTTGTTTTTGTGTGTGAGTGTACAGATTTTCATGACTGAAGATATACTTGAGCCATTTAGACAATGAGAAACTGAGAAAAATGTTAAGGAAAACCATGACTTGGTAGAAGAGCTGGGAAGAAATAGGGCTTTCTACCTTTGCCATCAGCAAACACTGTGACTGTGGTCTACTTGGGCAGAGGTTGGACACCGCCCATGGCTATTCTGTACAGGTCCTGCGGTTATATGCCAGGGGTTTGAGGAAACGGGTCTAGTATAACCAAGTGTCCAGAAGGCTTGACTAGTAATCACAGGAGATCTGTACAAATTATCCTTTATAACAAGCTAATCTTGAAAATATCTTGTGAGAAAGCGATAACAAGGTTACTTTGGGAGACTATAGAACAATGTCAAGTGTAGGTAGAACCAGCAGATGAAGTTACTAAGTTTGATGGGCTTTTCTAGATATCCACTGTGGACAAATTAGGAACATTTCCCGGCATTCTCCTCTTTCTCCTAGGAAGCATAATGCCCGCCGATGCTTTCTTCCATCCCTGCACGAAACCCCGCGCCCCCTGCTCCCTTTCTGTGCTTTACTTTAATAGTCTGTAGTTAATAGACTTGCTATGTGGAGACTGGGACATAATGTTCATAGTTGGAAACAGACAAAATCAGATAAAATGGAGCCTAAAACAGGCCTAAGGATTAGCAAACAAAAGTGTCATCTGGATTTAAACTCTGGAATGCCAACATTCTATTACTTTACCTCAATCAATAACTTAGAATCCTTTAGTCCATGAGTAGATTTTAAAATTTAAAATGTGAAAGTAAATAGATTTTTCTCTCTCAAGGCATCCGCATGTTTTTATTTTGGCATGAGATGAATTATAATCATAAAACATGACAAGACTGGATAAACTATATGAGAAATGTTTTGAATGTCTTAAATGTTTTGATACTGAACCCAGCATGTATTGAAAACATAAGTATAATGATTCCAAATAAATGAACTATGTTCAATTTCCCAACAATTTACATTGAAGGGATCAATCCAACCAAACATAAGCAAACCCCATCTTTTTAAAGTGATTATAAAATTGCAAAATGATGACTGGGTTTGAGTCAGGAGTTAAAAGCTAAGTCACTGTAAGCAGTCCTGAACACATTGTATGAAGCTTAACAGAAGCATTCCTCTTTCCACTGTGGCTTTTAGAGGACCAAATCGAATGACCCTGTAGGACTGTTCTTGGGATGGTGTCCCCCTCCACTCAGCCACCTCTGCCGAGTTCATATCTACGTGCCTCCTTCTCAGAAACAAGAGCTCTCAGAATTGGTCAATTTACTAAAGGTGACAAGTGAAGGGGAAAGAACCAAAGTTTATTGGGGATCAGCTATCTTTCAGGCATTCATGGAATTAATCCTTAGAAAAGTAGGTGCTAGTTGCTCGTGCTGCATTTTTCACTGAAGCTCACGAGAAGATAAATATCTTCTCCAAACTTAGGCAACCACTCTGCAGATCCCAAAGCCCTGTGTTCTGCCACACTGTGCCTTGTCAAGAGTTGCTCAACCTAGAAAATGCCACGAGTTACATCTCCATCATCTCTCTAGTCCGTCGGCACGCAAGGTGACCGCACAGGCTCTATGGAGGGAGAACAGGGCTTCCTCCTGATGGTCTTTCCTCGATGTCATGAAATGAAATGAGATGTCCTTGTTTGAGGGTCATATTCTCTACATCAGGCCTAGATTTGGTCAAACATTTCCTTCTAAGTGTCTGAAATCATGCATCATTTGTGTTCTATACCATTTTGTGAGAAATGAATTTCCTTTATCAAAAGTCTATGATGCAGCTCCTACATTCCAGGCAGTATGCTATGGTGCTGGGTCCACAGAAGCCCGGAGCCTGTTGTGGTGGAATGATGGAGGAGAGCAGGCACACAAAGGAGGGGTGGTCACTCTCACCCGAGGGAGGGCTTCATCGGAGTTCTGACTTTGCGCTGTGTCTTGGAGGATGAATGGCATCAGTGGAGGAAGGGGAAGGCGGATGAGTGACAGGAAAACAGGGCATCCCAGGCTGATGGAGCAGAATGAGTGAAGGCACAGGGGGCTGGGGATGGCTCAACAAGGCTTTCCTACAAAAAGGGAGCAGAGCAAGATACGGACAGGAGAGCCAGATCAGGGACAAATCCAGAAGGGCCTTACATGCCAAACAATGTATGGCCCAATCTTTGTCTTATAGCTAATGGGAAGCCACTGAAAGGCTTTACCAAGGGATGGAAGCTGAGTTACCCTCAACTGTAAAAGGTTACTTTTGCAGGGATGTGAAGAGCTAGTTGGATGGAAGTGAGCAAAATGTAGGACAGGGAGACCAAGGGACAGGAAAGGCTGTTCTAACAGGTGACAGATGATGAGGTCCTAGAGTAAGATGGCAGTAGAATGGGTACAGAGAAGAGGGTGGATTTGAGACCTTAAAGAGGTAGAACCAATCAGATATAATCAAACACTCGATGTGTGGCTGGGAAAAGGGACGATTCGAGGTTGACAGTCGGGGTCTTTTGACTGCGTTGCTACAAGACAGTGGTGATTTTCACCATGATGGCAATTACTGGACGAAAAGGAGATTTTGAAGAGAAATATAGGAGTTCAATATTAGACATCACAAGTTTGACTTTTCAATGAGGCAATTCAGACACATGAGGCACCCTATAGAGAGACGTGTGGCAGATAGTTGGATAGAGTGACCTGAAACGAAGTGAGAAGTAGTCTAACAGGCTGAAGACATGGCACACATTCGGTAAGTGGAACTGTGAGAGTTGTCAATGAGCTTGCTCACAGGTCATTTTTAGTGACCAAAGAATCGCTACCGAATTCTGGAGATGCGGCAACATTGAAGGGGCAGTCAAAGGGAGAGGAATCTCAGGGGAAAATAGTCCAAAAGGTGAAAGAAGTGATAGGTTATATAACTTTGAATGTTCTGTATTAATGGGGACTAGAACACTGTAACCTCAATTCTAAATTAGTCACACACAGTCTAAATCAGACTGACATATAATGATGATATAATAATGAACTTCAGGATCAGAGTTGATGTGTGAACATCAATGTCATGGTTATCTTGCAAATAGATAATGAGTCCAATTCTTCCTGACAAAAACCTTGTTTTTCACATCCATAAACCTGTCATTTTTCCATGGAACCTGGTCATTTTTAATCCCATACCTGCTCATTGCTGCCTTTTCTAAATTACCCATCCCCGTGTAGCTATCTTGAGCACTTTCTCCACTGACGCTCTCGTCATCAGGTCCAATGTTGACATTTCTCAGCTCCATGGGATCCATCTGAGCTGCCAGCACCTCTTGTCCACACACAAGGTCCTTCAGTGTAAACAGTATACTGCACCTTCAGCCTCAGGCTCTTCCACTTTAGGCTGGTATTCAGATCACTCTTTCCTGCAAGAAGAACATGAAATAAATCATAATTTTCTTTAAATTAGATAAATGAATATGAATCACCTACTTTGTGTATGGTCTCTATAGAAACATGGAAAGAAAGTACACTCCTGAAAAATGTCCTATAAATTTATTTCTGGCAAGTTCCTTTACCCAATACAAAAACAGAAAATCAAAGAGAAGAAGGAAAGTCCTTTAATAAATCGCTAAATCATCGGATATTTATAGAGTGCCTATGTAGATGAACATGGCAGGTGCTCTGCTAGTCACTGTGGGAAGAAAAAAAAAAATACGACCTGGCAGCCATCTTCAAGAGGCTTTCCAATTTGTAAGCAAATTGCCTGATTTTAAAAGAAAAGAAGATGAAAGTAAATTGTTGACAAAGACCTGACAAGGCAGAATCTAACAGTGTCTCTACCAGCAGTAAGATAGGAATATTACTGCTTGAATTTGCTAATTGGGTATAAAAGAATTCACATCACCAGAATGCCTGATGACAAGCAACACAGGGTAGGATCATGCCAAGGGAGATGCTTTCCAGGCACTTGGATCATGAAGCCAAAGCTAAGAATGTAACAAAAGGAAGTACAGGTTTAGCTTTGAATCAGCATCTGTTACCATCCATATAAAATTAAAATGCATTTTAACAGCAAAGAGACTCAGCTTTTAGGTTCTGCTCTGCCTTTAATTCATTGGATCCCAGCACAAGTTAACTTTTTTTAAAGATTTTATTTATTTTTGAGAGAGCACGAGAGAAAGAGTGCATGTGCGCAGGAGCAGGAGGAGGAGCAGAGGGAGAAGGAGACTCCCTACTGAGCAGGGAGCCCAATGTGGGGATTGATCCCAGGACCCTGGGATCATGACCTGAGCCGAAGGCAGATGCGTAACCGACTGAGCCACCCAGGCACCTTTATTTTTTAACCTCATTTTCCTCAATTATAACGTGAAAAGGGGTGGACTGGCATTGGGTTTAAAAAAAAAAAAAAAAGCTATGAATCCATCATATGCTGTTGATAAAATTCTTGTTGAACTGTTATAGTGGGAGAAGTACTATCAGTTTTGGAAGGTGTGGTTCTGAATATGCACTACCCATTTGGTAAGAATATCCCAAGCACAGAAACTAACATAACAATTGCTCCAGAACTCAGGAAATCCAAAAGTACCCTGACAAATATAAAACCACATGGGAATGCCTTCGCAATCCGGCACCTGGGCAGCACATCTGTGGAAGGCAACTCACACTCGCTGAGTTCACAACCCCAAAGTACAAAAGCCACAGAACACACATGGAAACTCAGGATGAGTGTCAGTAAGCATGAGAAAGAAGATTCATACCTGAGTAACTAGAGCTAGCAAAGCAATCTAAAAGGGACTTTAAAACTATATAATAAAAACTAATAGGAAGATTCAAAATAAGAGCTAACATCCATAAAATAAGAACATTATAAAAGATGATCAGGCTGGTTTGGAAAAGAGCCAAAAAAGGAATTTTAAAAATTAAAAAAAAAATAGTCATTGAAATAAAGAGAACTCAGCTGAAGGGAGAGTCATGAAACTGAAAGACAGATCCATGGAAATCACTCAATTATATCACAAATACGTAAAGAAAGACAAATATGAAGTTAAGAGACATGGTGGGGAAGCAAGAATAAGTCTAACATACTCCACTGGCCCTCTTATTATGAGAAAAGTATGAGGCCAGGGGGAAGCAAAATAGAAAAGACATAATGGCAGAGAATTGTCCAGAACCAAAAAAAAGAGAGTAGCTCTCAAGATTTTTAAAAAAGCACATAGTATTTCAAGCAGAAGGGATAAAAATGAATATATTCATTGATATGATAAAGATAAAGAGAAAAATTATAAAAGCCAACGGAGAGGATAGAAGATATGCCTACTGTTAAAGAAGAAATAGAAACTTGTATTAAATGAGTAAAAAAGTTTCCTCCATCCATCACACAGACCAGTTTCACCGAAGAGCAGGACCTATGAATGACCGTCTCTATTTTTAGTTCTTGTTAGTTATTCTGAATTTAAATTATTCACTAAGACCTCTCTGACATGGTTTATCAATTCTAGACTTAGACAAATGACAAGTGAGGAAATTAGCATACTTCCTTCTACCCGTCCTTCTCACAAGCTCCTAATTGTTTTAGTTAATGAAATACTTTTACAATGTTGAGATTCGTAATACTTCCATACTATTCTGTAAAACAATGAAGTCTCTCCTAATTTTCTGTAGGTTGTTTTTGAACACTAAAAACCAACCAACAATCAGCATTGGCAACATTATGATTGTGTAAATGGTATGCTCTAAAGAATCAAGTGGTAAATTTGATTACATAATACATGATCTAGAGGTCCTCTGTTAGTAAAACTTTGCAAGTGAATTTTCCATCCTTTTACTTTCCACCCTCTGAATCTCACTCAGCTGCCAATGTCTTCTGAACACCATTCCATCTCCTTTCTTCAAATCATTTTGCATGGTGCCGGAATCCACCTTGAATAACTCTTTTCACACAATGTATCCAGGTTTATAAACAGTTTCTGAGTTGTTTCATGTTGGAAAAAAAAAAAAGCTTTACTTTGCCCTTAAACTTTGTTTGAAGAAGTATTGAGTAGAGTAGAAAAACAGTTTACTTTAAGTTTTCATTTAACTTCCAGTGAGGTAACATACAGTATATTGGTTTCAGGTGTGCAATATAGTGATTCAGCACTTCCATATGTCACCCGGTGCTCATCAGGACAAGTGCCCTCCTTCATCCCCGCCCCCTCTTTCCCCCCTCCCCTCTGGTAACCACCGGCTTGTTCTCTATAGTTGAGAGTCTGTTTCTTGGTTTGCCTCTCCTTCTTGATATCCTCCTTTGCTCGTTTGTTTTGTTTCTTAAATGCCAAACATGAGTGAAACACATATGATATGTGTCCTTCTCAGACCTATTTCATTTAGCAGAATACTCTCTAGCTCCATCCATGTTGCTGCCAATGGCAAGATTTCCTTCTTCTTTAGGGCTGAATAATATTCCATTGCATAACACAGTTCCTTTTTAAGCTATATCCATCTTATTTTCCAACATGTCCACTAATTATTTTTCACAATCATGTTTTTAATTTGTAATAATTTGGTCTTCATCTTCTCCCTCCTTTTTCATCCTACCCTTTTCGTTTGTTTTTACAGAGGCAGTATTTTCTCAAATCTTTCTAAAGACATTGACTGGAAGTTTTCAAAAGCTCCTTTTGTCCCCTGAATTATGTATTTTTTCTGGAGTTAATTCTGTTTGTTCATCTTGGTCCCTCTCTCGCTTGCTGGTTTTCCTTAAGTTCTTAGTGATCCTAGGTTGTCTGTTCTTCTTTATGAATGAAGAGTATGGTGGTTAACTTAGGTAGTACTTGGGGTTTCTCTTAAATTTTGCAGGCCCATTTCATTAACGGGTTGCTCCCTTGTAGGTCCCATAAGTGGCTTCTCTGCAGATATCTATGTGGCGCATCCTGGAGAACGCCACTCCCGGATGCAGCAGGCACTCTTGGAGAGGTTTCTATGGGAGCAAAATGCTCTCATGTGTTTTCCTCTTGGTTGGAGCTTCTGTTCCTACTTGTAATCCCTCTTTGTATGCTGTGGAGGCCCCGGTGCCATTTGTAAAGTCGGGTTTTCTTTTTTAAATACACACACACACACACACACACACACACACACACACACATATGTATATGTATATATATATATATGATTTTGTTTATTTGAGAGAGAGAGAAAGAGAGAGAAAACAAGCAGGGGGAGGGGCAGGGGCTGAGAGAGAAGCAGGCTTACGCTGAGCAGGGAGCCTGATGCGGGGCTCGATCCCAGGACCCTGAGATCATGACCTGAGCCGAAGGCAGGCGCTTAATGACTGAGCCACCCAGGCGCCCCAAGTCAGGCTTTCTTTCCAGACTAGATCACAGGCTTAAACTTTGAGCAAAGGTGGTGGCCCAAACAGATGAAAATGTCCAAACTGAGGTTCCTTGGCGAAAACCTGGTCATCGCTTGCCCATGAGACACACCTTCTCCTCGTATACATTCATTTCACTTGGAGTTGTTGCCAGGCTCATTCTGAAGAAAAGCCCACTTACCCCGTGAACTTTTTACCCTGGTTTTACCCAGTTCCTTTTCTCTTTCACAGATTTTCCAGTGCTATCTGCTTTCTGGCTTCCAGAAATTCTTCCAAACTTGTGTTTATTATGAACACTGCTATTATTTTTTAGAACTTTTGTGGGTTTTTTTTCTTTTAAAAGGTATTATTTTGTTTAAAGCTTCATTGCTTGAATTCCTCAATGCAAGGTCCCAATCCTCCATTCTTACCATCGACTCCCAAGTCTTCATATCCCAAGGTCGATCTTTGGGCCAGGCCTCTCCTCTGAGCTCCAGCCGCCTATGTCCAGCCTCCTAACTGATGTATATACTTGCATATCTCAGAGGCAGTTTAAATTCAATGTGTCCAGAATCTAACTTGCAACAGTTTCCTCTTCTTCCAATGTTTCCTATCCAAAGAATATTGTTACCATTTATCCAGGTACTGAAACCAGAAGCCCGAATCTTCTATTATAAATTTTCCTCTCTTACCCCACCCTCCACATCCAGTCCTTTACAAAGTCTGTTTGATTTTACAACTCGTCAACGTATATTCTCAAGTTAATCTACTACTTTCCATTTCTCCCACCATCACTCTTGTCCAACTACTATGGTTTCTTTTACTCTATCAACTGCAGCAAACCTAATCCATGTTCTTGAATCCTCTCTTGTCTTCCCTCCCCCAAAATTTACTTTCTGCACAACAGCCAGAATGATCCTTTTTTATTTTTATTTATTTTATTTTTCAGAATGTTCCTTTGAAAACTAAACTTAGGTCATATTTATTTGCTTAAAACTCTTTCATGTGTTCTCCTTGTTTTTAGGAGAAAGTTTAAGTTCTCAACATGCCCACGAGGCTCTGTGTGGCTCACCCTCTTCTCTGGTCTCCTC